TATATATTATAATTTATTTCATGAGGTCATGAACAAGCTTTAAACTTTACAGTTGACCCAAGCTTCTCCCTGTTAGCACCGCGTTATTTTCCCTTCCCCCGAGATGCAAATCTCACAGCAATCCCCAGAGTCAAGTGCAGCTATGGGGAGCTGGACAGTTGGTATGGCCAAGCTGGTTTGTATGATCCAAACTGCAAGAGCTGCATTGAACAGTGATAACAGCGAAGAAGAGAGGATATGGCCCCTTAGCACCGGCTCTTTGGTGTTTTCATACTGCAGAATGGAAAAGGACAGGCTCAGACAGAAATCATGTGGAAAATAGGACCAGCTCAGGCGCATAGAGAGTCCTTGTCCTCACTCATTTATCTGTGAATCATTTGCAACTGAACCCTGCCTGGACCCCATGTCTGTTCATGGCCCAGGTGGGCTCTTATATCTACGTTGGTTCTGGAGTGTCTCTGCACTCCTGACACCAGGGACAAGTCCTTTTCCGGGAGTATTTTGTTCCCTCTTAAGTTTTCCTGAGATTTGCAGTTAGGCAGGTTTCCTTGCATAGCAGCTCAGATTGATCAGGAAAGAACTGACTGAAAAATTAAAACCTACCTTTGTGAAAAATGTCTTTGCTACCAAATTGCCTTGCTTTCCTATTAAGAAAATAATGAGAATTTCAATTGTTTATTCCTTTTATTTTTTTGCCTCTCGGAAAGTATTGTCAACAATATTATTGAAACTCTTCAATTACCAGGAGTATGGCTTAAGGGAAGTGAAAATTAGTCAATAGTTTTATAATGTTTTTAATGCATTTTTAATTGAAAAGCACATTATTGGGGAAAATGGATAACAATGGTTGCTTGCTTTAATGAAAAAAAGCTTTAACAGGCATTCTGCAACAGATAATTTTTTTGAAGTTAATCATAGTGACACTCGTTCTGGCAGGTTGGGCCACTGGCGGGTGCCTGGCTGTGCTGGCAGGAACAGGATCCCAGGTGTCCATCCATGCAGGTCACAAGACACTATTTCCAAAATGTTAAAAGAACTTTATTGGATGAGTGGCCGGTTTCTGATCCACCATGAAGTTCCCAACCATCTCATTTGTCTCCTTTTGCTGTTATTTCATTATTACTATTTTATTGCAAAAGCAACCAGGAGGGAGCTGGGTCTAGCATCACACAACTTACCCTACAAGCAGAACGAGGAATTGAATGCGGGAACCTGCCTATAAGCTAGGAATCTTTTATAGTGAGCAGAGATCTGGTCAGTGGAGTTTGGGGAAGATTAATCTCATCCTAATGCAGATGTCTGATCGATTATTTAAATTGGAGACACTCAAAACGGAAACAGAGAAGGCCCTGAGCAACCTGAAGTTGGCAGTATTTCGAGCAGGGGTTGGACAAGCTGACTTCCCTTCCAACCTGGACTTTTTCATTTTTCTATGAACTGCACCAAGAGTTTTGCTGAGTAAGGCTCTCTTAATTACAGCGGGAATGTGGACCACAAGGCTTAGAGGATGGCTCCTTAATTTACCTGATGGGTATGTCAACTGTGTGATTTGAGGAGAAACTAGATGGATATGAGTGTATAATCTCACACCATCCTTGTCTCCTGCTGTGTTTCCACAGGTGTCACCACTGTTCTCACCATGACCACACTAAGCATCAGCGCAAGAAACTCGTTACCTAAAGTGGCGTACGCGACGGCCATGGACTGGTTCATAGCCGTCTGTTATGCCTTTGTGTTTTCTGCGCTGATCGAATTTGCCACCGTCAACTACTTCACCAAGCGCAGCTGGGCTTGGGATGGCAAGAAGGTGCTGGAGGCCCAAGAGATGAAGGTCAGTGTTGTGGCCAAGACTGGGGAGGAGGGGATGGTGAAGAAACGCTGCACGAGAAAGCTGCTCTGGGGCCAGGAGTGGGTAACATGCAGCCCCGAAGTACTTCAGGAGGCTGGATGCTACTTACTGGGGTCCCCAGCTCAGGTCTCGACTGGAGCGGTTCTTGGTGGTCGAGGGAGGAAGGGCTTGGAGGGCTAGGTCTTGCTGTGCTTAGCTGGAGAAAAGCACGCAGGCATGACTGCTCGCTTTTCCCTCTGTCCTCCCGCATGGCCATTTGCTGGTGGAAACATGAATGCATGCATGTTTTGGTCCTGCCCCACTGGTGGCCTCCTCTCTGCAACCTGTAAATGCCCCACTCCATGTTGCTAGCATGCCACATAAACCCAAAAATGCCATGGGATTCCAGCCTCACTAATGGAGATGGTCCCGCTCCACTGTGTCCGTTGCAGCTGGTGTCCCTGACTCTAAGTCTCCCCTCACATTGGCAAGCATGGTGCAGTGATGGGGAGGTCTAATGCTTATGGTGTTGCCCACAGCTGTCAGCAGCTGCTGCTTTGTAAGCCCAGGCCAAGTGGGTGGGTGGGAAGCAAGCAATCAGAAACAGCAATTGGCAGTTAATTAGTGCCTGGCATCACCCACATTTTCCATTCTCGCTTGGGATCAGCCTCTGGCAGCTTCCTTCCTGACAGCCATTGCTACCCCTGCTCATGTCCCCTCCCTTCTACCTGATTTAATCTTGGCTACGCAGAGAATTTGCTTACTGTAGCATGCCACTCCTTGTTTATATTTATTGAATCAATTTGAAAATCAGCTTTGTCCTTGCTCTTGGTTCTGGAGCCTTTGTATTTTTTCTCCTTTGCATTTTAATATGTTGTTTCAAATTGTTGTGGGGCTGTATGCAAATACCTGGCAGAACTGCAGTAACTTCTGGGAAGACAACAGCCCGTCATCTCTCTGGTGTGGAAGTCAAAGCAGAAGAACAGAGGCCTTATGGAGATCCACAGCACTGGGTTTTGAATGCCTCTCCCTTGTGTTTCTTGGGCTTTATCTGTTTGTTTTTGCAGCTGTGGTGTGAGCAACAGTGTTATGGCTCCAGAGGAGGCTAGTTGATGGTTTCCCACTTCCATCATGAACAATAATGTTAAACTGGCCTCTAAAGATAAGCCTTTATCGGCTCATTGGCATAAGCAAAGGATCAGAACAGGTCCTCAATACAGCCGTGTCCCTTTCAGGGATGGGCAAATCAGCACAAAGTCAGGATTCACACAGCCTTGGGCAATTATGTGAACTGGGCACAGCAGGAAAAGCAGCAAAAGCTGAAAAGCTTCAGTTTGTCACAGAAGAAGCAAGTTCCTTCATTTATTCATTGACCCATCACTGCAAGGCTAACAGTGCTGAAACAACAGGGTAAGGGCACTCAGTGTTTGCGCACCTGGTAATCAAACATGAAAACAAAGCAAGACCAGGAACGTTTCAGAGGGAGTGCTCTTTGTGAATCTGCTGCAATGGGTATCAGGCTGGAGAATCAGGAAGGACTCCAGATTTGTGGATGCTTTTTCAAGTCTTGATCTTCACCTAAGAAGGCTAACCCACTCCCTGTCTCTGCAGCTCAGAGAGCTCCTGAAGGATGGTGAACTTTCAGGGAGCATGGGAATACGATGTGTCACTGTATTTGCTTTTCATCTTTATTCCATTGAATATTTCTAAGCAGTGAATTTACTACACAATGAAGGTGCCTCATTGGCTCAGTTTCAGCCTTTAATTAGCTCTTCTTGAAACAATTGACAAACCAGGTGGTTGAAGCCACAAAAGAAAGAGGAGGCAGTAGAATAACTATTGGCATTTTAAGTGTTTGTACCAGGAGTAAAACTAGCAGTGACAAGCTCAGGTTGAGCCCTGGTCTCCGGAGAGCCTTTCCTCCAGCCAAAAAGAATGCTCTTTACTGATGTGATGGCAAGGATCCTCACTCCAGGTTTGATTGTTTCCTTGCATGAACATGAAAAAAAAATCAATAAGCATCAGCCCTTCCCTTACCTTAATGTAGGCAGCATCAATGCTTCTCATCCCATTTGAAAGAAATCTCTACCTTGCAAAAGCTGCTGGTTGCTGACAGCGTGTTCACTCTGTCAGGGCTGGTTCCTTTCTTTCGTTCTCTCTCACCTTCAGCCAACCCATTGGGTTAGATGGGAACAGAGCATTTTTTCAGGTAGGATCTAATGTGATGGGCTGATCTTGGTGCATTGCTGATCTCTGTATCATAACTGATCATGATGATGCTCTGTCTATACCCACGGTTGGGTTCTGGTTCTAGCTCAGAGCTACTCTGCATGGTCTCTGCAGTTCTCTGCAGATATCACCACAGATGTCACCGAAAACTCCCCATAGCGCACACTCTAGTAAGATTTGACTGATGCTTCTTGGACCCAAAGATTTTCCAAGCCTTTCCTGTCTGCCACCAGTAATCACTAACTGTGGATGAAAGATTTCCTCTCTTTTTGTGTGGCAGAGTGGCTGCAACCAACCTAGAGGTGCAGATCCAATTGGAGAGATGTGTCTGGATTTAATGTGGAAAACTTGTTAGTAAAGATGATTTTTAAGAAAACATCATCAGGAGGAAGGTGGGAGATGGCAGTAGTTGGGGAGGAGTGAGAGGCCAAAGAGATTGAAAGATGAGTGGTTTCAGTAGCCAGCAAAGCTCTCTATCTGCAGCATCCTCAAAATACCTTGTGAAAAGGATCCATTTCAGCACAGAAGGGCTGTGTCTGAAGAGAGTGAGATCTACTGCATCCCATCCATCCCAATCATAGGAATGGCCACCTGTGGAGCCAACAAGGTCACATCCTGAGCAGCTGTTACACTGAGAATCCAGAGAGATGTCTATGAATGGTGACTTTGCCACTGGGAAACTCATGAAGTCTGCAAGGATGACATTAACCAGAGAGTTCCCTGCAAAAAAAGTGTTGTCTGTTCCTCAGAATGAAAGATACTTTTGATCTTTGGAAGATGCTTACTTAAATCTACTTCCTCCTACAGATGTATATGCATAAAGTCTGTTTTAGCTCTGTATCTGTGCTTGTATGACATTGCCCTGAAATCCTGGGTGGCAAGAAGCAAAAAAACCAATACAAGTCTGCAGTCAGACTCATGAGAACAAAGAACAACACACTTTGGATGGAGGAAGTCCTGGATCTTTATTCTTCTCACTCTTAAGACAATAATCATAGAATCATAGAATGATTTGGGTTGGAAGGGACATTAAAGACCATCTAGTTCCACCCCCCTGCCATAGGCAGGGACACCTTCCATTAGACCAGGATCCTAAAAGCCTCATTTGGCAAATCTGAAGCTTTCAACTTGATCCAGGTCACTTGGGAATCATACTTCTTTCTCCGTCGTTTCTTTCCATTTGTGACATCTTTGTTTCAATCCCCTGTTTGCCAACTAGAACCAACCTTGACAGGCCACCATTTTCAACCAGTTTGAAGTCTTAGACATTCATGGGGTGCTTCAGACCCATCGTTTTTTTTCTGCCTCACTATGGTAAATATTTTTTTTCCTGAGACTTTCACTTGCTGACTGTGCTCTGCAGCCCATGTATCCTTTGTCCTGCTGCACTTGCAATCACCTGTAGTGCTCCATAGCACTGCAAGGAATTTATGTCCTCAGCATCTTCACTAGAGTCCCTGTATCATTCTTTGACAGCATTTCACCCTCTTCAAACACTATCTATGTGGCCTGTTGGGCTGATTATTGACGCTATACAACCTCTGAGTCTTTGTCTGGTGATCCAGGGAGCATAAAATTATTGGGCTCAGTCCCTCATAATCTGAATGAAGAGACAGGAGGGATGAGTCATGCTGGTTACTCCAGCAGCTGACAGTAACCTGGCGTTGATGCAGCCTGCTTGTTAATGCAGGATTGCATCGTTTGGAGCCTTTGGGTCTGCTCAGGGCTCAGGCGTCTCGGTGTAAAACACGTTGCTGCTGTTCTCTGGTGGGATCAAGTCTCTGGCACGCTGCAGAGGGGAACTTTGGCTGGCATGAAGGCAGAGTGGCATGTTGGCTACAACAGCAACTGCAGTTACTGGGCTTTGAGTTATAGGATACAAATATGTCAGAGACTAGAGCTGCTTGGAGGTCTTTAAAGTGAGTTTCCTCTAGAATGGCAAGAGGCAGAAACCTTGCATTTCTCAAGTATTGCAGATACTAGTGATGGTGACCTTCACAGTGGCCTGTCTGAGGGACAGTGCTTCCAACCCAAATTTCTACCCAAGGAGAAGGTGCAGAGAACTAAATCTCCAGCAGATCATAGGCAGAACCAGTATTTCCCATAATTTAGAGGTTCAGCTGTTAGCTCCTCAACAGAAAGGCCTGAAGACAGGAATTTTTAGCAAAAATGCTATTATTTTCCATTATGTGTGTTGTGGAAGAACCCATCGGACTGCAGTATCCAGGGAACATACATATCTCTAGACCAGCTTTCACAGCTTTTCCCTCAGGAGAGCAGCGCAGGGACAGCTTTGTGAAGTGATTCAATCTCCCTGTGTCCAAACTGGGCCATAAATGCAGGAACTGCTTTGCAACATAGACATTTTAGACGAGTTTTCAAAGCAAATGTGGGGTTTCCTCCTGTTTTTGCACTCTTTCCTTCTGTTTCAGTGGGACATGGGATAAAGGTACAAGGGAAAGGATAGGGCTACTTTGCAGCTGACAGCAATAAGCACATTTTGATTGTCAAAATCTTACCTGAAACATTTATTTATAAAGCACAGCCCAGTAAACTGTAGGCCTGAACCATTTCTTCTGACATCTGAGGAGCAGACCACATCCAGAGTACACATGTGTGCTGTGGTGTAGACACTCACAGCATTCGTATTTGCCTAATATCCCTCTGTTTCAGCCTCCTATTTTCAAATGCCTTTGGCCTGGCAAGACAGATCCATTTTCCAAGCTCTAGGGCAGAAAAGCCAGCCAGGTTGAAAGTGTCACGTCACTTGTATTCATCTTATTCCTGTAACAAATAACGCGGCTGATTAATACTAAAATAATCACAGTGCTCTTCAAATTGCATTCTGCGAACAACAATCTGGTTTTCATTTCGTTGGTGTTTATTAATTATTTTATTACCGCCTGTTGCTGTGTTAATAAGTAATCATACTTAAGCATATGTAAGTATTTCAGAAACATCTTTAGTTCTTTATTTGCTTCTTGTCACCATTTCAGAGGGAAAAGTTCACCTCCTGTGTAGGGGGTACAAGTTAACATGGCTCTAATGATTGCAGAAATCCGTCTCTCAGTTAATCGCTAAAGATCATAATGCTGTCTCCCATAAAATACTATGAATATGGTCTGATCAGTGGTTTAATCTGATCTGGAGTCTGAAGACATTTAGACCTCCTTCTAACAGTAAGTTAATTTCTGTAGTTGCTGGCGTTGTTAGAAGGCTAGAGGCCTGGATGTGTTGTTATTGGAGAGGGGTTTAAAGATGGCACAGAAGTTTGGTTTTAGTGTCTCTCTGAAAATCACTGTGGAAAATTCATTTCCTAAGGTAACCAGAAATGTCCATGGTGATTGTGGACACGTTTAAAATGGAAGTACAGCATGACAGCTAAAGCTCTTGGAGTATCTCTGCAGAGCAGACTAGGTGATTCTGGCCTTTCCAGCTCCCAGTGCTGCCCAGTGATGCTGCTTGCTACCAATTCCCAGGGTGGGGAGTTGATCAAGTCCTGCTGGAACCACTCTATCCTTCTTCTAACGGTCACTTTGTATATGATTCCCTCACATATACATGTAAGGCCATGCCAGGCACCCCTGGGAAATGCCTGGATGAGCCTTACCCTGTGTTTCAGTTGCTTTCGAATAGCAAATGAGATGTGAAGTTACATTTTATTCCATGTTTCTATATTAGGTTCCCACCATGAGTCACTGCTGTGTCTAATACTGCCTCTTGGTGTAACTACAGTGGACACCACATGGAGTACGTAGGTGCTGGGGCATGTAGGGTGCTTGATGTCTGCGTATGAATATATTTCATTCAATGGGCTTCTCCTGCTAGATGATATGGTCTATGGTGAAGCTTGTCTCAAGTCCCTGACAGCAACAGGAAGATCCCCAGAGTGAGGGCAACACCTATCGTGACTTCCTAGCTCCATCTTCCTGTCCTCTTAGCTTCATTAACATCTAAACTGTCTTCAGCATCTTCCATCGTCCTTCAGTACATCACATCTGACACATCAGTGCCTCTTTTACCTCTCACTTATCTCCCTTGATTTGCAGATAGGAAGGCAAGATGAGAGGCTTTCCTCTGCCCTATCGTGCTGTGTTGACCAATCCTGAAATGCCAGGCTAGTGTAAATGCCTTCCATCTGTTCTGTATCTTGCCTGGAGAGGACATGAGGGGCTCTAAAAGGTCTCTCAGTCATTTTGGACATCATTATGTTAAATTGTGAGGTATTCCTGTGAGGTATTCAGTGCACTGAGGCAGTGTATGACATGACCTTGTAATATGGTGCAAAAACATCATCATGCTGTCATCCACATTCTGAAAGCCACTGACTTTCTGCTATTAAAAAAAATAGAACTATAATATATAATCCTCAGTGATGTCTCCTCCTCTCACCTGGCCCAGGATCAGGCCAGCAAATCAGAAAACCAAGCTTTTCCCCCAGGATGACCACATGAAATATTCTTTTCTAAAGGCAACATGCCTGCATCATCTCTCTGTTGCTGAACCTCACATGCAACAGATAACACTGCCCACTTGAGAGAGAAAGCCAGGAGTCTGTATAGTTTGAGCCTAAGTTCACTTATACTGACCTGCCAATATGCAACATAGATCCAGCAGCACTCGGCTGATCAAGAATTCACCCGTCTGGGGCAGCTACTGGTTAAGTGCAGCTGCACGCACCTCTTTATACCACTGCTCTGATCTGAGGGGCTGCAAGGAGGCAACAAACCCAGCTACAAACCCTCAAGGAGCCTAAAAATCCACAACTAAAGCCACTGAATGTGGCTTCAGTTATCTGAGTCACAGCCAGGACCAAGCTGCCAGGCCAGGACCTCTTTGTGCTACGTGCTGCATGCCAGGCTTATACAAAGTAGTTGGTCCACCCTAGTCCAGCACGTCCTTGTGCTCCAGCAGCCCTCAAGTGGCAGATGTCACGGTTTCTGGCCATCTTCTCACCACACCTTCCATCCCTTCCACAATGCCGCCTTCTTGGTCTCTTGCTCCTTGCACCCTTTTTCACCTTCTCACCTGGACAAGCAGGTAAACTCAGAGGACAAAATGTTCTCCATGCAATTCCACAGTCACTTCATCTCTGTTATGTTTTTTTTTCTTCCACCTTCCCTAGAAAAAAGAGCCAGTGGCACTAGCAAAGAAAACCAACAACACCTACAACATTGTTGGCACCACATATGCCCTCAACATTGCCAAGGACCCCGGCCTGCCCACCATCTCCAAGAGTGCTGCTGCCGCCGCTACTGCCACCAACATACCCCACAAGATGCCCCGCCTAGAGGAGAAGCTCCCAGAGAGTAAGAAGACATACAACAGCGTCAGCAAGGTAGACAAGATGTCTCGCATCGTCTTTCCAGTCCTCTTTGCCATTTTCAACTTAGTCTACTGGGCCACATACGTAAACCGGGAGTCAGCTATCAAGGGAATGATCCCCAAACAATAAAACCAGTCACACAATCCTTCCATCAGTGAACACCATCCAGGCAGGAATTCTCCAGGGCTTTCTTATTTCCCGTTTTGTTTAATTATTATTGTTCGTTTGATATTATTAATTATTATTATTACTATTAGATTGTTCTTTTATAATGCAAACAAAACTGTGATTTTATTTTATTCCTGTGTACTTTAGTTTTGTTTTACTTTGATGACGAAAGGGGGAAAAAAAAAAAAGATCGTAACAAGTTGTGCCTCTAACATCTTGAGTCTGATGTCCCCCATCTGTCCAAGTCACCCTGTGCCTCCATCTCTCCTCCTCCACCTCCTGCTGTTACCACGGTCTGCATGCCGCTACCATTGCACACTCTGCTCTGCCGGGGGCTTCTGCTGCGGTCCAGCCCCTCCTCCTCTTCTGTGATGGGCTCCCTTAGCATGGTGGATGCTCCTGGTGATCTGGACGTAAGGATGTGGAGACCTCTGGAGTCAGTCAGCCAGCCCAGGCTGCTCCTCAGTGCTTGGCACTTGGTGCCAGGTGGTCCTCCCCAGGCTGTGGATGCAGGTGGGTTGGTCCATTGTGCCCAATGGCTGCTGGGTGTCAACCCATCACTGCTGTTGTCAGTGAGGCCATTGCAGGAGTAGAACAGGGTGGCAGCATCTTGTAGGTATCTACAGGGCTTCTTCCTCTCTCTCTTCACCAAGCCCAGCTGCTGGTTTCCTTCATGTCTCTCCACAAACAAGAACAGGTGAGAAGGGTCTTGTCTGTCTGCCATCCTGCTCCACTGGAGCAGTTCATGTTAGAGGGTGGGGTGGTTCCTATCAGAGAAATAATTTTTCTCAGGCACAGCCAGGAAACTTCACAATGCCTTGAAGGAGATGGTAGCTGTGAGGCCACATGCATTCAGCATCAGGACTGGAAGCCATAGAGTTTGTGTTCAGATGGGTTGTTTATCACTTTCTCTTGGCCTCATCCACCTATCTTTCCTCTCTGTCTCTGCCCCTTCTTCCAGCTCCCTGTTCATCTTCCTTTGGCTATTCAGCAGCCCTCAGTAGTATCTCACTGGTGGATTTAGGCAGAGAAGCCCCTGCCTCTCAGGTAAGCCACACTGCTGGAAAGGAGCACCACCCAGGGAAGTCCAGCTCATGGCACACTCCTGCTTCAGTGCACCAGAGCAGCAGTGATGATGGTTCAGGCCAGCTTAGGTGCAGGCTGTTTCCTGTGGGACACAGCAGGGGCCACCCTGACGCCTGTGAGGGTGAGCCAAGGGACAGCTGGTCCCCAAGTACCTCCCTGCCCCTGGTGGACAGATGCAGCTGAGCATCCTCAGCACCACGGGGAAGCAGCAGAAGGGGCTTTTTCAAACAGCAGGGTGGTACGGCTGTCCTGAAGAGCCATGTGAGCCAGGTGCCATCCCACAAAGCCATTGAGATAAGACCCAACTCTAACACCTGCACACTCTTCAAGGAAAGCCCTCCAGTGTCTTGGAGAGAGGCTTTTTCTCCCTTCCTGGTAACAACAGTCAAGGGCCCAAACCAGTGGTTATCGCCTTCCCATCAGCAGCAGCAGATGGTAGCATCCAAGCCTTCTGTCCCCCCTCCTTGGTGCCTGGACCCATGGACACAATGTCCTGCTACAAGGAAGGCCACCTTGTGCCTGGTGAGTTCTCATCCCCAGCCCATGGGCAGCACTGATCCTGCCAGCATCCGTTCTCCAGTGGGATGCACCCCCTTTTTCCTAGGCCTCCCTTTGTCCCTGCGACTGTCCCCCTGAGCTGCCCTTAGTACATTTTGGGTGCATGCAACCAGGCCAAGGCAGCAGCACCCCCAAGGTGATATCTTCAGTATTGCTTTGAGCCACTGTGTCAAGCTCCGTTTCCCCTGCCCATGCAGGAGCAGGGCTGAGTGCAAGGCACAGGATTTGCCCCACCTGGAATATCCATGGGGATGGGCAGGATGGAGTGGGGAAGGCCAGGGCACTTTGTCCTGCAGCATGGGTGACATTTGTGCATGTCCTGCCCGTCCCTTACCAATCTTGCTAGCTCAGCAGCGGTGCAGTCGCTCCCCCTGCCTACAGCCGCGGTGAGGAGAGTAGCTCGGAGACATTTAGCTCAGCCCCCAGCAAGTTCAGTCCAGGAGCACATCCACACCAGCAGGCAGCATCAGTCGAGGGGGTGGCAACCCTTGCCAAGCTGATGCTAAGGAAACCAGCTCTCTCCATTTCCTCCCCCCCCATCATTTGCACCCCAAACAGCCCATGACATTTCTACAGTGCCTTTCATCCCTGAGGGCTCCCTGTTGGGTGGCAAGGGGCACCCAGCATCAAGTTGGACGAACAGAGGGAGGGTGCACCATCCCTTGTCCTTCTGCCAGGCAGAGGGGACATTTCAGCTGGTTTTGCACCTAGGGCACGTGGTTCCTCCAGGCACTGGCCTGCTGCTGCTGCTGCAGCCACCCCGCTCCGACAGCCCAGCTGCCTCCATACTGCCCCATCGCAGTACCCCTCACCACTGACGCCATCCCACCATCCCCTCCAGCAGCGAGTGCCATTGCTGCCACCCTTCTGCTCCCAGGGCTTTCCAGTGGGAAGTGCGACACTAACCAGCCATGAGGCTGTTTGTTTTGGAAACTACTTGGATGTCATTTTCTTAAATAAGCTAGATGAAGTGTATCTCATAAAACATTCATGTCACTATAATACTCAGGCCTAAGTGAATGGAATAGAAATCCTATAAAAATCAAAACAAACACAATAAAATGGTAACAAAGAGTATATTGTGTTTACTAATGGAATTACATCAAAGGCAAGTTTAAATACAGGATCCAGTGGCTTAGCTAACTTGAGCTGGTCCTGGCGCAGAGGTGCCCTCTTCTGCTAGCCTGGGCATTCCCCAAAATCCCCTCTACCCTGAGGGCCACGTCCTATCACACGTCACCTTTCTACCTCTTCCTGTGTCTGTCGGTGCCTGCTTCATAAAGCTCTCTGTAACTTGTCAGGTCTTACCTGCAGCTTCTCAGCAGCCCAAGCCCCCACAGGCTCTGCCTTTGCTGCCTGCCTGGGGCCACATAGGCTCAATGTGCCGGGGCTGGACCTCTCTGCAGTGCTGGGTACAGCATTGGGGCAGCATCTGAGCCCCTTCCCTTCCCGTGGGTGATCCCATCTGTCTCGCTGAACCATCAGGGTGAATCTTCTGCCAGTCTCTTCCTCCAGTCCTGCCCTCTCTGCGACGTCAAGACTCTTGTCCCTCCCCGGGACACAGTCCACCGAGCTGGCTTGCTGGTGACACCCGTCTGCTGGCTCCTCTTTGCTCTTCCCGGCTCCAAAAACTTTGCTTTCTGCCTGATAAAAGGCTGCCTTTCTGGATCTGTGTTAGCACGCCTTGAAAGCCAAGTCTATTCTCACCAAAGCCTGGCACTGGCTCTGGGTCTTTTTGCCAGCTGGAAGCAGAAATACCAGCATCCTTTGGTTAAAGACAACAAACCAAACAGGATTTGTAGTTTGGCATCCAAGCAGGGAAGCATTTCGGGAAGATAGTTATAAATAAGTGGTTTAACATCTCCTGCCAGCAGACATCACAGAGAAGATAATGTTCTTTTTTAAAAAAAAAAAAAATCTGACAGCAGCTCAAATTGGGACGTTTCCTTTCCAGCTGATGAAAGGCTGCTGATGGGGGCGTCTTCTAAGGGCATGCCAGGCCAGAGCTAACCTAGCATCAGTTACTGGGGTTTACTGGTTGCTGTGATGATATCTAAGGGCTCCATTTTTATAATTGATTCTACATAGGAATAGATCTGTACTTGGCCATTGACAGTCTAATCCACAGTTGTGCACAAGGTGGGCACTTCATTTTGCTGTGACCCTCAAGACTCTAATATTTTTCTTTTCTGGCAAGGCCCAAAGCCTCCCTGACTTGATGAGAGTTTTCCAGGCAGGGATTAGAAGTCTTTAAGGGTGATAAAAAATTATCTGTTCAGTCCGTGCTCCTGTTTTGTCGCTTGTACCACCTGGGACATACACAGTGCAGTCCAAGCCTGCAGTTACGTTCCTCCTGAAAATGTCAGAGGGAAATTTTGGCGCTGGCAGCTTGCTTTTTGCCCTCCTCTGAAGCAGCACATGTGCAAAAGCATTGCAGTTTTCAGGAGCTCCATGCCCCGGGGAGGCGAGGGATGGTTCAGCTGAGGTCCTCCAAGTGGGCAGGAAAGGCAGCACGTGGTGGCTGCCAGCGCTGTGTTAGCGCTGTGACATTTCTGTGGGGTGATGTGAGAGGGATGGGAGAGAAGTGGTCCCTCAGTACCACCCATTCTTCTAAAGGGCTGATGGAGTTACCCCCATTCAACGTCTCAAAAGCTTCTTGAACATCACCAAGCAGGACTGTGACACTCAAGACAGAGCTTCCTGGTTCTCCTTGCATGGAGCTCAGCATAAGCAAAGCTGGCTTCCCCACTCCCTAGGCTTTACAGGCAAGGGTTGTGGCCATCACAGCTCACCCCTGTCCTGATCCCCACCAGCTTGATGGCACTGTTCATTCGCTGTAGGGCATCCCCTGTGCAAGCCCTCTTCCCCAAATCGTATGCCCCTCTGGGGCCACACTTCAACCCACCCAATCAAACATCCATGTGGATTTTGTAGACTGGAGAGAAAAAACATTTCCTTGACTCCTTGGTGGATATTGGGGGTGGGGAGGGCTCAGCCAGGGTGAGGGGCACATTCATGAAAACATAAATCCTCTATTAATGTCAAAGTAGGAAGAAAAAAGTCCAAACAATTCACCAATCCTCCCTCCATATCAAGCTAAACTACTCCTGAAGGCATTTTTGGCAGGAGGCCACAGCACAGATTAAATTGATGGCTTCCAGGTATAAGTATTTACTGTTTGACCTTGTTATTGTTCAGTCAGCCAAAGGTTTTTACATATATATATATATATATGCATGTGTGTGTGTATATTTATGCTTACAAACTCTTTATATCTAAAAGTCAAACTTCTCTCCATTTGAAAGATAAAATGGCCACTTTCAATTATTTAACTTCCCTCTCATTCTCTCTGCTAAATCTTCTGGAAGGGACTTGCATCCCCCTCTGCTGGTTCTCAGATGGCTTTGGGAGGCATTGGGAACAAGGGAGAAGTCTCTCTCCACGCTGGGGTCTCAGTGCAGGTTTGCTGCCTGGACCAAGGTCACTGCTGGCAGCGTTGCCCAGCACCTTTCAGGAGAACTTAGTCCCAGATGTCCCACATTCTCCAA